CTGTGCGCTGTATAACATACGAAAGATCAGACCATACCTAACACAACATGCCACCCAGCTCCTGGCGCAATCTACTGTCATCTCCCACCTCGATTACTGCAACGCCCTTCTAACTGGTCTTCCAGGCTGTACTGTGAGACCTCTTCAAATGGTCCAGAACGCAGCGGCACGTCTGGTCTTCAATCAGCCAAAAAGAGCACACGTCACCTCTCTGTTCATTGAGCTCCACTGGCTACCGCTAGCAGCACGCATCAAATACAAATTGCTAACACTAGCATACAAAGTCCGAGATGGTACGGCTCCCATCTACCTGAATCCTCTTGCTAAGGCTTACGTCTCGGCCCGGCCGCTCCGCTCATCACAAGATCGTCGGCTAGCAGTGCCTACACCACGCTCAGGACAATCCAGACTCTTCTCATGCATCGTTCCACAAATGTGGAATGACCTTCCAAGCACCACCAGAACAGCGGCTTCCTTTTCAATTTTCAAGAAACTCCTGAAGACCCTGCTCTTCAGAGAGCATCTTCTAAACTAGCACCCTCCCTGCACCCGTCCCCCTCTCTACCGTCCACTCCTTGTTCCCTCCTCTCCATGACTGATGTCAAGTTGTTGTTGTTGTTGTTAGCCTCAAGGGCAACATGCCGGTTATCACTTGTAAGTCGCGTTGGACAAAAGAGTCTGCTAAATACATAAACATAAACATTGTATACATATGTAATTGTCCCATATCATGGTATGATAAACACGTAAAATTGGTTTAAATACCAGCTGTCTAGCCTTTTCTTCCTCTTGTCTGTCCCCCCCTTGCCTCGTTCACTCTTTTCACTAATTATTCACTTCCTCATTTACGTGAAACGTGTCATTAGGTCTCCTGACCCTTGGTCGACTGGACCTCGTTTGTGCAACTGCTCCCCCTATCAGTGTGAATTAAATGGTGTGCTGTGTGTGTTCATCCTGGCCCAGTTCATGCAGAGGGTGTGTTGTTTATAGTGCCATGTCTAAAGCATGTAGATGTGTGTGAATCAGAACAATTCAGGGGTTGGTGACGCATCGCTCGCCGTGGGAAATGAGACGTGTGTTTTTGTGCTTCTGCTGCTCCTGCCTATGCGTGATTAGTTAAAGTCTACCTCTGAAATCACAGAATAATTGTGTGTCCTACATTACAGTTGCACAGAGCAACGCAAACAAATAAAAAGCTTCCTCAGATGCCTTGCCCCCCTTCTTCAATCATTATCCAGCATGCATGGCATTCCAGCTGAAAGGAATGACAAGGAGATTGTTATTGTGCTCTCTGTGCTGCATACTTGTACTCTTCTCATACACACATACTCATAAACACACACACACACACACACACTCTCATAAACACAAGCTTTTCAGAGCAGAGGCCCGTTCTTGTTTCCAGCAATAAGGTCAAATAATCACCCTCCATTCACTAATGTTAGACGAGGGTAGGTGAGAGACGTGGAGCCGGGAAAATGCTGTTTCACTGCAGACGCAATAAACACTTTCAAGTTTAATCATCTCAGTTAATAATCATCAGCTGTTAATAATATACAGCTGTTTGTGTGCATTGAGTCTGCAACTCAGCCCTAAAGAGTTGGCATGTTTAGAGCTGGTAAACTGCTCAATAATGTTATGAGGAAGGATTTTAAGGATGCTGTTGCTGGAAAAGTCCAAGCAGACTTTGATGTTTTCTGGGCTTACTTCTAAAACCTTATTTTCAAATGGTTTTTATTTTTTATTTATTTTTTTATGGGGGGCTCATCAGTAACAGCTCTTTCTTTGTGGTTTTGAGGAGTTCACTGAAGATCAAAATAGCAGGAATCGATATTGGCTCGACACACGGGAGGCGTCAAACGACCGCGATCAGCGAAATGCGTTGCTGTCGCTTTTATTACCTGACACACAGGAGGCGACCCGCGCCAGCGGCAAAGCCGTCGATGCGTTCTGTTCCATGGCGAAATCATTGACATAAATATACTGGACATCTCCTTTCCACAGGCTCCAAATCACGTTTTTGAGGCCAAATGGGAGGTGGCCACCAGCGCCATTTTGACCGTGTCACAGGTTCTGTCAAGCCCAGACAATTCCACAAAAGGGAAGAGAGGTGGAGCTGAGGGTGGGGCTGTAAGGCTGGGATCAACTGACGACACCCGGTCGAACTAGCTACAAGCTAACCTGAAGCTAACCCTGGCTAACCCAAAGCTAACGCGGAGGTGGGAGCTAAGCTAACGGAGGTAGCAACCTAGCTACAACCGGAGTTAACTGTGCACAACACCAGAGCTTCTGAGTCAGAGATACGCCGAGCTGACCGCTGGGTAAAACCAGGTGGAACACAGAGATCTCCGAGAGCTCCACAAGCCGGCAGCCGCACAGCAGACAAGCGCAGCTGCGATCTGAGATGCGCAGAGCTGCCGCTGGGGAGAACCGGGTGGAAAGGTTTCCATCCAGAGCTCCACAAGCCGGCAGCCCGCGCAGCAGACAGAAGCCGCGATCAGACAGAGATGCGCCGAGCTGCGGGGAGAGGAGAACCGGGTGGAAAACATCGGTCTCCCTAGAGCTCCACAAGCCGATAGTGGGAGCCCAGCTCCACCAACATGTTATATTTCAACCCATTTTCTAAAGTGCAGCATTATGTTAAATGCACTGGGTTTTACCCTATTACATTTAAATTTCATGGTTAAACAGTACATGTTAAAATCTAAGCTCAGCTCGGCAGTGACCTAAAATACATAAATATAATTTTACTTACCGAAAATAATGAAGTGGAGACTCCTTGGACGCTCTATTAGTGCAATTAATGCCACAGCAAGTCATTTTGTCCAACAGTTGCACAAAAAATATCCAAACAAGAATAAACACACACAGAGACTCAAAATCCCGGAACAGTTTCCAGGCCAGGCCGAGGCTCTACTGAGGCCTTTCCCTGGAGCTAGCTCTGTGGTCACGTGGGTCTGATGCTCATTAATTATACAGAATTTTAGGCTTTTAATACACTTAAACAGAAGAGTGAGAAAAAAATTCACCCTCCTCAGAGTTGTCATGAGTGTAAACTAGATCATTTAAACCAAAAACATGTTCTGGTACCAGGCTGTAAACATGTTTATTTCTGCTGTGAAATTGGTATTTTTAACATGGGAGTCAATGAGGATTTGCTCGCGTCTGACACCAGCCCCTAGTGGATGAGAGTGGAACTGCAATTTTTGGTACTTCCGGGTTTGACTCAATTTTAGAGCTCCGCTGTGGGGGCTTGGGCGAAATCGAATCTTCCGTTGTTTTGATTGGCTGTGTCAGTTGGAGGGAATTAAGGTTATTTAAGCGGTTCAGAGTTTTAAAAGTGGTAGATATGATGTTTCACAAGTTGCTGCTAGAGTTATGTGAAATCTTACTTCTGATTTTACTGTATAAAAAAAATCCGAGAATGGGTTCATCTCATATTACAAACAAGAGAGAGAAACGGAGAATGGCATCATTTAATGAGGGACCTCAAGGACGATCGGAGGTGTACGGAGCATCCTGTCCGCTCATTGGTCAGTGAATGAAACCTCCGTTGATTGGTCCTCGTCCGAGCGACAGCGATGAAAAGTTGAAAATATTTCAACTTTCTGGGATCGCGTCGCTGGGTCGCCTGTGCACGACACGTGCACGAGCACAAAATTTCACACGCACGTTTTTTGAGTTTCGCTTAGTAGGAGGGAGACCCGCGATTATCGCTTTGTCGCGCATGTGTCATTGAAAATGAATGGAGGAGAGGCGATGTCGCCTCCCGTGTGTCGAGCCCATTAGCAAGCAACACAAATGTGATTGTTCTGATGCTCTTCTATCGGTTTTTAGATTTTTGTCGTTTCCTATTGGTTGTAGTGATGGGAATTCCGGCTCTTTTTAGAGAGCCGGCTCTTTCGGCTCCCAAGTGGCTCCTCAGATTTTCTGTTGCGTAGAGCACATTTATAACCAAAATAATGCAAAACTATGTGTAAAATTATTTACTAATGTAAATAAATGCTATATATTAAATAGGTATCATTTATATGGATTTAATAACTGAACACTTTAAGAAATCTCCACTTTCCGACTGCTGGCACTCATTTTCTCACCGTCTCCTCTCTCGCTCGCCTTTTTCCTCCTCCTCATTCCCTCTCGTCTCCCTCCGCCCTCATGTGCTCTGCTGTGTGTCTGAGTCTGATCCTCCCTCTTCCCCGCCCCTACTGCTCTGTGTGTGGACAGTCTGGACACGCAGTTACACATGTTGTCCAATCGCCTGTAGCTTTCACCAAAGCAATAGGGGGGGGGGGGCGGCTTCCAATGACGAGCCGGCTCCCGTCGTTCACTTCAAAGAGCCGGCTCTTAGAGCCGGTTCGTTCGCGACCGACACATCACTAGTTGGTTGTGTTCAGCACATCGGGCTTCTGCTAAGGCTGTGGAAGCTGCTTTATAAAGTAAAGGAAATGAAATGAAAGAAATGGAATAAAATGTGAAATGTTTTTGTCGATGATGTGTGCCATGAGAGGCAGCAGTAGCTCAGGTGGTAGAGCGGGTTGCCTCATGATCGGAGGGTCATGGGTTCGATTCCAGCTCCCGCCACGGGTATCCTGCTGTTGCGTCCTTGGGCAAGACACTTCACCCAACTTGCCTGTGTTGGTGGTGGTCAGAGGGGCCGACGGCGCCAAATGGCAGCCTCGCCTCTGTCAGACCTCCCCAGGGCGGCTGTGGCTACAAGTTGCTTACCATCACTAGCAGTGTGTGAACGTGAGTGTGTGAAAGCGTCTTTGGGGGTCTAGAAAAGCGCTATGTAAGTTCAATGCATTATTATGAAACAAAACTCAAAATAAATGAGTTGTTGCTTTTTCTGTTTTTATTATGCCCCGCTTTGCTCTTGTTTGTGGCGGTAAAACTAGAGGAAACACAGTAAAGGGAAGGTCTAGAGGAGGTGACTGGGTCACGGATGCCTCCACTTATCACATTGCCTGCTCTTAACAAGCCTTTTCTCTTGTTTTCAGGTTCATGGGAAGTGTGTGTGCAGACACAACACTGCAGGAGATCACTGCGAGCGCTGTGCTTCGTTATACAACGACCGGCCCTGGCAGCCTGCTGACGGACTGACGGGAGCGCCGCACGAATGTCTGAGTGAGTCGATCTATAACGCACCAAGAAACTCCTCAAACATGGTCTTCCTTCGCCGTGGAGGCATTCCATTTATGTCTGTTAAAAAGACTAAGATGCAACTTTTAGAGGACGTTTGGACCAAGCAGCTCCTGATTTGTTGATTTCTTCCGTCACGCACCAGAGTGCAAGTGTAACGGACACTCCCAGAGCTGTCGTTTTGACTGGACGGCGTGGCGCGAGTCTGGCCAACGAAGCGGAGGTGTGTGTGAGTGTCTGCACAACACTGAAGGGCGCCAGTGTCAGAACTGCAAAGCCGGCTTCTACAGAGACCCCCAGCGGCCCCACACCGCTCCTGACTCCTGCAGACGTAAGACTCGCTCACACACGCTGTAAATGCTGGCCGGTAGGCAGAAGAAGAAGCAAAAAGGCTTTATTGATCAAATATGATTAAGCAGTGTGAGTTTATGTAAGGCAGGCTCAGAAACTTCATCAGATTTAGCATAAATAGTGCACACATTAGAAGGAAATGACACCTTGAACCTAAAACTTAATTGTGTAAAACACTGTTGAGGATTAGTCAGCATGATTAATCACCCCCTCACTGTTGCTGGTGTGAATGAAAACATTAACCTCATACACACCACACTGGCACGGCTCTCTCACTCCAACATGGAATGCTGGAGACAGAAATCACAAGCCGAGACGTGCTGCATGACGCTGAATCCTGTGTGTGTGTGTGTGTGTGTGTGTGTGTGTGTGTGTGTGTGCGTGTGTGTGTGTGTGTGTGCGTGTGTGTGTGTGCGTGTGTGTGTGTGCGTGTGTGTGTGTGTGTGTGTGTGTGTGTGTGTGTGTGTGTGTGTGAGAGACGCAGCAGACAGTCCACACTCTACCCATGGTTTACATCGTAGTTGATCATCAGATGGTGGCATTCCTCTGTCTTGACTCGAGGCTCGTTACAAAACTTTGGTTGTGAGGAGACGTAAATGTCTGAGCTTCCTCAGGTGTGTGTGTGTGTGTGTGTGTGTGTGTGTGTGTGTGTGTGTGTGTGTGTGTGTGTGTGTGTGTGTGTGTGTGTGTGTGTGTGTGTGTGTGTGTGTGTGTGTGTGTGTGTGTGTGTGTGTGTGTGTGTGTGTGTGTGTTTTCCTGATGAGGTGACTTTTACATAAACACAAGATAATCATCCATAAACAGAGCAGCAGTTACAGTCTCCTTCTGATTATGAGCCAGATGTGGCCCGGTGAGCTCATCTTGTTTATGCTCATGCGTGTTCTGTATATCTCACTGACTTCTGAACAGTCGAGCATCCCCAGATTACAAACACAGGATCTGATATCGCGCTGAAAATCCTGAAGTCTGCATGCGTCAGAGATGATATCCAAACCTTTTCTTTGTCACATGATTCTGCCTCCCAGTAGAAAAAAATAAATTTATTTTATTTTACTTCCAGTGCAGAATTCACCTCTACTCTGGTGAGTTCTGTACCTCTATGTGCAAAAACCCTCCCAACAAATGTTTGTAAATAGTAAAGATGCAAAAAGGAAAATTTACGTCAAAACCTGACATTCGAGACGGCGTAAAGGATACAAAACTAGATAACAGTAAAGGAGTTTCAGCTCTGCTGCTGGTAAACAAGGAAACGACGACAGAAAAGTGAATAAACAAGTACCGTACTTTACGGAGTGTGAGTCGCACCTGCCATAAAATTTATAATGAAGAAGAAAATAATTTCTATTCAATTCAATCATTTTATTTCACTCAAAATTTAAATATACAAACTTCAAATCAGAATACAATTGCCAACCAGAATATTAAGCTTGGTTTATGCCTGACGCATTCACTTTCCGCGCGGTGATGCGGCTCGCGGATGGAACGCGCTTCACAACTCGCAGCGTTTATGGTTCGTGCGGCTTGTCTCTGCGGTGAGCTAATATTCTCCCAAACTGTAGGGGGCAGCATGGAGCTCTACGGCATGCATCCAACACTACACCATAGTAGAAGTAGAAATTACTGTTTACAACATGGCATTCCAGCATTTTTAACAGCGTTCTCGTCTTTTCTGACAGTGCGAGCTATTTCTCTCCAAGAATTATTAACATGTTGATCACGGTGATCTCTGAGAGCTGAATCATACAAATGTCTGTATTTACCAACCTCTGCCGTACTAGTTCTTGCCGGTCCGCCATGTTTTTCCGCGTCCGTCCGCGTGGTTAGAAAATTTCCAAGGTGCGCGTTGCGGAAATTCTGGGCCGTGCGGAGGCGCGGTGGAGGGGCGCGGTTGTTAAAATGACGCAACTTTCCGCGCGGAGCCGTGCGGATCTCGCGGACGCGTCAAGCATAAACCAACCTTAAGCATTCGAGTGAAATAGGGGGAGGATGAAGAAAAAATCTTATATGACCTACACCCTTTAACCAAGATGAGATAAATAACAAAAAGTACAAAATAGCCTTATACACAAAAAATAAACCGCTCTCTTACTTCCACAAATAATATCACTACTAAAACATTAATCCTCCATCCTCAACCCACCAAATCACACGATTTTAGCATTTTATCTTTATGCATTTTATTGAATTGATCAGTAGTTGTACATTTTTTAATTCATCATCCAGGTTATTCCATAATTTCACACCATGTATTGAAATACACATTTGCTTTAATGTAGTACGAACAAATAGCCTTTTAAACTCTGGTTTCTTTCTACTCTTATCATTTTTTGGGATCAAAACAAAGAACCTTTGTAGATTAGTTGGCAGTAACTTATTTCTAGCCTCAAACATAATTAGTAAAATTTTCAAGTTAATTAAGTCTTTGAATTTCATAATTTTAGATAGAACAAAATATTTGTTAGTATGTTCTCTTGGATTTGCTTTATGTAGAATTCGCAAAACTTTCTTCTGTAACAGAAACAAAGGATTAGTGTTTGTTTTATATGTATTGCCCCAAACCTCAATACCTACAATAAGTTAAGTATGGTAAGATAAATGAATAATATGATGTCTGAAGCGTTGAAATTTCTAGAATACTTTTGACTTTGTTTAAAATTCCAATACTTTTAGATATTTTTTGTTTTATATATTTTATACGGGATTTCCAAGTAAGTTTATGGTCCAAGAGAACCCCTAAGAATCTGACTTCATTTACTCTATCACTTAAAAAACCATCAATAGACAACGTAACTAAATCATTATTTTTCTGTTTCCAAAAACCATGAATTTAGTTTTATTCCAATTGAGAAATAATTTATTGTCATTAAACCACTTCTTAAGTTTAGACATCTCACAAACCATATTTTGAATAATAATTTCCAAATCATTTCCAGAACAATCTTACAAAATGTGAGAACAAGCATTTCACACTGCAAGACAAGTACCGGTAACAATAACAGAATAAACAATCAGGGTGCAGCAGCGCGCCACGGTCTCCAGCAGAGGATGGCGGTGTTTGAAACCCTCCCAGCGGGCGGGGAGAGCGCCCGCAGCACCCCGCCACAGGCTGCAGCGGGTGATGGCGGTGTTTGAAACCCTCCCGGCGGGGCAGAGGAGCCGAAACCTGGACCGGAGCCGACCCGCAGCAGCACGGTATACGTAATTTGGTATATAAGTCGCAGAACCAGCCAGACTATAAAAAAAAGTGTGACTTATAGTCCGGAAAATACGGTAAGAGTGTTAGTGTTGAGTGTGCGCTCCAGTCAGAGGGTATCAGGACACGGAGCCTGAAGTCGTGATTAAATGGAAACAAAGGCAGAAAATGTCCAACTTCTGGGAAAATAATTATTCTTAGTGGTAAAGTAAGAAAATCCAGCACCCTGTGCCTCACCAGTGGGCCATTCCCATCTGAACCGGGCCAGGCTGGGGCCGACCCGGTACAGATGGGAATGGTCCACAGGCTGCAACAGGATGTGAACAACATTCATTTTACTAAACGTCTGAACATTTTTGCACCGGTTCTTGTTTTTCTCAGAAACTAAAGCGACTAACTTTCGTGTGTTTTAATTTTGCTTTAAGAAACTTGCAAGACAAATATTTTAAAATGGTCACTGAGTTGTTGGGAGTCTGGAATCCGGAACGTTTCACAATTTAGTTCCCAGGACGGTAAGAAATGCAAGGCAACTTTCGGAGAGCTTCTGCAATTGCAGAAGATGATGATGATGATGATGATCTTTTAGAAACCGCCTCCAAGATAAAAATCACTAGGTGCTTAAAAAAAACAAAAACAAAAAAATTAAAGTATAAAAATATTTTTCAACGATTAAAAACACGTTTCAAATGAGAAAAGAAAAATAATGTAAAGAAAATAAAAGGAAAGAGGGAAATAAATGGATCCTGGGAACGGTGGAATTAGAAGAGAACAAGGAGAGGGTGATGATGAAGGTCACATCAAATCAAGCCTGAACAGGTGAGTCTTCAGCTGCTTTTTAAAGGAGACCACTGGGTCCACTGATCTCAGGCTCGGGGAGGGGGGGGGGGTCCAGAGTCTGAGGGCCACAGCAGCAGATGATCCGTCACCTTTGGTCTAATTGTGACCAGTTTTCACCCGATTCGCCCTCTCCAACAATCGCAAGGACAGATTACCGTAATGGCTCTAAAGACAATTAGATCAGATATCCCTGCCGTGTGTGGTGTCTGCTGAGAAGCACCAGCTCAGATCATAAATCGGGGTTTTCAAACATGTTGGTTTGTCTCGGTCCGATTTAAAGGACCTGTGGCCAATCAGAAAGTAACGAGTCAGAAGCCGAGTGCACGCTGCTGCTCCACCATTTTTGTTCCCTCTGAAGTCGCGTTTGACCTTACAAGGATTCCTGTCCGACCCTAAGCTGTGTGTGATATCAGTTCATGTGCAGTTTTAACCGCGTTGCAGCACATCACACACCAAAACTAGGACATACATGATTTTGTGACACCGCCATTTAAAAATCCTGCCATGTCAACCGAGCTCAAAGAAACTGAGGCGTAAAAAGACATTTTGTGCCTAAATTGTGAGAAAATAATTTAGCGTGTATGTATCAACTTGATGTAGTAAATAGTAAATGGCCAGTATTTGTATAGCACTTTCAAGGGTTCGCCAACCCCCTAAGGTGCTTCACAACACAATCAGTCCTTCACCCATTCACATGCCAGTGGGGATGAGCTACATCGTAGCCACAGCTGCCCTGGGGCAAACTGACAGAAGCGAGGCTGCCGAACACAGGCGCCACCGGTCCTTCCGACCACCACCAGCAGCAGGCAAGGCAAGTTAAGTGTCTTGCCCAAGGACACAACAACTGCAACACATGGGGCTCAAACCTGCAACCCTCCGGTTACGTGGCGGGCACTTATAATAATAATACATTTTATTTAAAAGCGCCTTTCAGAACACCCAAGGTCACT